GAGGCACCGCAGAGAACAGAGAGCGTGTGGTAGAAGGAGGAGGATTTTTTTCCACACATATTAATTTTATTTGGAATGCCAGAAGAACACATTATCCGAACATATCGTTTGCCAAGCCATGTTATTTTTAATTTGCTTCAGGAAATAAAAGACAACTTGGAACCCCCAACTAGGAGTCACGCAATACCAGCTCTATCAAAACTTCTTGCAACCCTTCATTTTTTGGCCTCCAGTTCTTTTCAAGGTAGCCTACTGTGGCTTATTTATTTCTTTATTTGCGACTGCTCTAATTTGTGCTGCGCTTGGTATATTGCATTGGTCGATATGTAAATGAGATGTTGCGTCTGTGTTCTTTCATTTGTGTGTTGTTAGTAAATCACCTGCATATATTTCCACGCCCATCGGCGCCGTTTTGGAATTGCGCTCTCGTGTTAATTTGCCCTGTTTAGCCAAATTGGCCCACAGTGTGTGCATATATATGTACATATTTATGTGTGTATGTATGTATGTATGTTTGGGTTTACACATTTTGGGGTCAGTAAGAACAAGATCAAATTACAAAATGTTACAAATGATTACTATTTGAAATTAATGCTGTTCTGTTGAACTTTGACTAATCAAAAAATCTAAAGTTCAAAAGAAAAAAAAAAGTATTTGATTTTCCACAAAAAACATTAAGCAGCACAACTGTTTTCAACGTTGATAATAATAAGAAATTTTAAGCAGCAAATGAGCATATTAGAACGATTTCTGAAGGATCATGTGACACTGTAGATTGGAGTTAAGGGTGCTGAAAATTTAGCTCTGCCATCACAGGAATAAAGTGCATTTTAAAATATGTTATTTAAATTTGTAACGAGTATTGAATATCATTTTAAGTATAAAGTATTTTTTTTTTTTTATATTTGCTGTTAATACTCTGATACACATAGGTAACATGAACAAACACTCACCCTACAACTGCACTGGGATACTTCATCCTCAGCCAGGCCGCCAGCATCCCGCCGTAGGAGCCGCCAATGGCGATGACTGAACTCTTCTGAGCTCCAGGCAGGGTTTTTTTCAGAGCTTTGATGAGCACTGCAAAGTCAGCTAAAGCCTGTTCTGAGGTCAGGTAGTTCAGATACTTTGCATTCTGTAGAAAAGGAAAGACAAGCCCAGAAGGTCAAGGACAGTGTTAGCTAAATGACCCTTACCGCTCGACATGAGCAGCAGTATGGACTCACGCTGTAAGACTCTTCGCCAAACGGCATGGATTCTCCATAGTAGCGATGTTCAGCAAAAACCAGCAAGGCTCCCAGATCTTCTGCTACATCCCACATGAAACCCTTGGGAAAAAGAAGAGGTTGAGATATCTTGCTTCCATTTGGACTAAGGGTTAGCACAGTAACTAAATGTTATACTTTTACAATATATTTTTCCTCTGGATGGCAAACTTTGAATTTTGTATCAGTATTTTTCATAATCATAATGCTATAAATATGAAGTAAATAATGCTGATAGCCTGATACTGATTATCTACAAACACTGTGTTTATTATTATCTTCAACTGTTAAATGTGAAGCTAATAATTTCTGCAGCACCAAACAGAATAGAGTGCAACAACGCATGTCCACTTTTTCAGTGGCCTGGTTTCAGAAGTATTTTTCCCCATCTAGTTTTCCCTGCATTTTGGCAAGGAAATCCACTGTTGAACATGATTATTTTTATTATTATTAAGTTGAAATGTGGGCTGATGGCTTTAACAAAAGCATATATAATATCAATGAACAACTTTGAAACTCACAGTAGGTCTGTATTTAAAGGTTTATAGATCATTCCCAAAATACATTATAAAAAATTACCCTGTGGAGAAAATGAAATGTGATTTTTACGGAACCTCTCCTACTTTTTTAATTTAATTAACAGGAGTGGTAGTTTTGTCGGTTTCAAAATATCTATACCTCTATAGAAGTTTTTTCTGCCATTTCTTCCAATCAAATATATGTATATATAAAAAAATGCATATTTACAGTGTTGTTACAGAACCATGTGATGTCTCCTTCATTGCCCGTGTAAAACAGGATTGGGCCTCCTTCCTTGTGCCAGTGCTGGTCATTAAGAAGATACCTCTGTTTGAATGTGCCATTCTCCAAAAAGCCAAAATGGTCAATCTGTAATAAAAGAAAGAAAGAAAGTACACAAAGGAAAATTTGAATATATATGAAATACTTCTAATCACACATACATTTCAGTAAGTGTCATTGGTATTTTTTTTTTTTCATTAAAATGAATTTAATTTAATGGCATAGTGTCATTTGGATAAATTTTAGCATTGTGTACAGTACACTTGCTCACTAATAAATCCTCTGCAATTAATGGGTGTTGTCAGAATGAGAGTTCAAATCCATCAAGACATTTTAACTTTAAACCTTTGCTCCTAGCCAAAATATGAGTTCATAATCCATTGCAATGCTTCCTCCAGTGAAAAAGTCCATCCCCTGTTGTCCTCCCACATCAAAATCCACCAACACATTTGTTTAGAATTGATTTGGGTTGTTTTCACTTGTAAACTTGATCTGTGCATATTTCTCCCCTGATTCAGACAAGATTACTTTCACTGGAGATATGGATAGAGGACTCATATTTTAGCCAGAAGCAACAGTTTGAAGTTGGATTTGCTTATTACAAACGATTGTCATTTCACAAGACATTAATTGATGGACTGGAGTTGTGTGGATTACTTTAATTGTGATGATTTTATCAGAAAGAGAATGGACTCTCATTCTGACGGCACCCATTCACTGCAGAGGATCCATTGGTGTGCAAGTGACTTAATCTGTTCCGACGAAGAAACAAACTCATATACATATTAGGTATAACATATACATGAAGGCAAGTAAATTTTCTGCAAACTGAAATTTTGGGGTGAACTATTCCTTTCTTAATGTTGTTCTGCTGCTGTTTTAACCATAAACAGTTACAATGTTGATACACCCGTCTACACTTAATGTAAATGTACAGTAACGATACTAGACTGTCTTTATTTCTGGGTGTTCTCCTCAATCTTCTGGCCTTCAGCCATCTCGTATAGTTGAGCGTAAAACCTCAGAGCAGGATGGAGGGATAATTAGCCTCAATTTGTATTAAAATCTAGTGCCAGCGTCAGGGATGCCACATTAGTTCCGCTTTGAGCAGAATTGTAATATCCATTCACCCAGTCCAGGGGCCGTTCACTGTCGTCTACATTTCCATAAATTCTCCAAGTTTGAAGGAAGAAGTAAAAAAGAATGTTAAAACTTGTTGCCAGAGCTGCAACGCTGCAGTTCTTAACAGTTCTCACTCTTCTGAATCCCACCCAACACTTAATAAAGAATGTTCTCTCTAGTGTTTTGTTTTTTTGTAAATACCCTCTTTCTCCTCCCGTTGGCAACAAAAGAGGCAGAAATTTTATGAGCCAGTGACAGCAAAAGGACTCACAGTTACATTCATTCAACAGCAGTCAGGGCCTGGCTGCAGGTCAAATGAGTGTCAGCTATATTCACATGCTTTAGTGAGTTATTTTCTGTGTAAGCTGTTATATCTCAAGCCTCAAGCTCTAGAAAATGGCTTTTTTACATCATTTATAAGCCTATTAATTTCCACTTAAAAAAAACATATTTACAATATTTTAATCATAAAAGTACATACATTTTCTTGATAAAATAGATCATACCATTATTAATATAATAATACATAAATGATTCATACTTTTTAAAACATAGTTTACAATAAATGTACATGTATTTTATTTTTGAATATTAGGATAAAAAAAGATAATAAATATCAGCATTTTCACATATTTCACATTTAATTTTAAAATGAAATGCAAAACCGAATTTTCAGCAGCCATTATTCCAGTCATTCTTCAGTGTTTTCTGATGAATAGAAAGAAAAGAACAGCACATATTTGAATTAGAAACCTTTAGTAACATTATAAATGTCTTTGTCACTCACTTTTGATTAATTTAATGCATCCTTGCTCAATAAAAGTATTAATTACTTAAAAAAAAAAAGAAGAAATAAATCTTAATGACCCTGAAATTTTGAACGGTAGTATAACTTCTTTATTATACAATATCCTTATTCTGTTGTGAATTACATGAAATCTTCTATATAATCATCTTTAAAAGGACTATGGTGGATTCGAGAACTGAATGTACTCTATACATTCAGTTCTCTATATGTACTATAACTTTAAAACAAAAACATCTGATTTTGGCTGCTGAGGTTAGATGAGTCACATTATGGACACCGGCTCAGAAATGCAGCGCCCTCTTCTGGTTGATACAGACTTTCAAAGCAGATGTACAACATGAGTCATCAATCTACTTACTAGGCCTACCTGTTTCCATGTGTAAATGTCAAAGGGTGTCACATAGCTTTAAAAAAATAAAATAAAAAAATCTTACTTTATCATGTCTAAAATCTTTTTCATAAGCTCTTTTAACAAGAACCTGATCTACAGGAAAGCTGTGAACATTTTCCAGCTGTAAAAACAACTTTTAAAACCCCAACACAAAAACGTATCCACAGGGTTGGAACAACAAATCAGAGGATGAATTTACATGTTTGACTTTTCCTCCAGAAAACACAAACGTTGAAGTTTTATAAAAAATGTCACACTGTTCCATTCCACCATAACAATGAAAGTAGATGGTGACCAGGGGCTGTCAGGCTTTAAAAGATGATATGAATCATGCTGTCACGAATCCGGTCCATGAACTTCCGTCTGCTAGCCATCAGAGGTCACCCTTTCCATTTTCATGCACTTTATTTCAAGTTTACATCATTTACTTTCACTGTAGGGAAAAAGTCATATGGGTTTAAAAAAACATGACAGGGAATAAATTGTTGTACTATATGCATACCATTTGCTGCACGTTGAACATATCTTTTTTTCCAGATATCTTTGTTATAAAACGGATAGTTCTGGTCCTTGATTCTGATTGGCTGAGCCACGTTTGAAGCTATTCTATACGGTACAAAACCTCTCCAAGTAAGCAACTGCCTAGCAACCATTTAGAATACCCTAGAAACCACATAACAACACCCTAAAAAGCACACAGAACCCCTTAGCGACCATATATAGCATCATGGTAGCAAATGTTGTACAAGAAAGAAGCACTTACTCTATGTTTTCATCATGAAAGTAAAAATCTAGTTTTGTAGCGATTCTGAAATCGAAGAAATTGTTCGCGATAATGACAGCTGTTTGCATAGCTTCTCAGTGAACTACGGCTCTGTGAAGTAAATGCTGCTCCATCTGAAAGCATGTGAAAATACCACATTTAATAACATTTTTACTCCAAACTCACTTCATAACGTCAGTCGAGTGTTTGAAATAAATCCTTCTGTGAGATGATGTGGCTTCTTACACAGAATAAGGCACACAACATATTTCATAGTATTTAAGCAGTGATAAAGGCATTGCATTATAAATATACTTTATTTTAATTAAAATTATCATAATAAGAACTCAGATAAACCATATATTGCCGTAGTCGTGTGTTTATTAGTCACGTTGAATCAATGAAAGCAGTTGAATCTTCTGTTTATTCAGCTGCAGCGATAGGCATTTTCTGGGTTTCTTCTGCGAGGCGTATTTGGAGTTTCAGCGCGAGAGCGCCCTCTGGCCTTTGGATGGAGATTTACTGCTGATCACAGAACCGTGCTTCACTGAAAGATACGCATGACAATCGCAGCTTCTGTCGAAACGCGATCTCGATTCAATTTCGATTTATCGTGCAGTCCTACTTAAGAGTGCATGTTTTCACTGCGTTATATAGTCTATTAGAATGCAGGTCTAACTATATGACTGCATTCTAAATATTGAATAGCCCCATTCAATATTTGAGGTCAAAATGACTGCAAAAGACTGTAAGTAATGGCTGCTCAAAATTCAGCTTTGTCGTCACAGGAATATGTTACATTTTAAAATATGTTAAAATCGGAAAACTTATTTTACAGTGTAATAATATTTCATAATATTCGTTTTTACTGTTTTTTTAATCAAATAAATGCAGTCTGTCTGAGCACAAGAGACTACTTTCAAAAACATCTTTAAAGAAATGTAATTATTGCAAACCAGTAGTGTATCAGAACTGAAGAAAGCCCAAAAAAATTATTGAGATTTAATTTTTTGTCAACATTGAACCCTATTTTGTACACATTAGTGCTATTAGTTATGTCTAATGAATTTGAAAACAGCTTTGCTCTTGGTTGCTTGTCAAACAGCGCTCTCCATTTCTCCATCCACAGCCAGCAACAGATGCTGAAAGGATATCCCCTCGACAACTGTTCAACCGCTCAACAAAGAGAATTAAAAAACGACAGACTACAGCTCAGCTCGAGCGGGAATGTGAAATGAAGCGCAGAGGGAATGTAAAATCCTAGACCCATGTTACGTTTCCTGTAGAGTTTCTACTTTGTAGATCCTCATTTTAACAGCCTCGTCTGTGCTGCTACGACTGAAGGCTACCGTTTAAGGCGTACTAAGTGCTGACAAGGACAAAACCAAGACAATGAGGAGCAAGAAAGCCAGGAAATGGCCCTAATCTTCCTGACGGCTCAGAGGATGAGTTGAACAGACACCGAGAAACAATTGCCTTCACTCTGGCGTGTCCAGGTCAAGACGTAATTAGGCTCAGAGTACAGCCTAACAGGATTGTTTTTGTCTAAAACTAGACGCGGGGCTTTTCCTGTGTCAGCTTTTCCCACAGATAGCGTGTAAAAGATTAATTTCTAAGCCACTCTTCAGGCTAAGAATGAGATTAAAGGTTTCTGAGACTTAAATTATTAAACAACTGGCAGCATCATACCACGATTTAAATAATTATATATTAAAGAAAGAAAAATGTCACTGTGTATTTTAGTCAAAGCATGTTAAACCTGACGCACACACAAAAACAAGGGACTTTCAAGATCTCACTTTCAGTTCAATAAAGTGAAAAACGGGCAGACTGCCAGCATCAAACGGGCCCAAGCCCATAGGGGCGAAAGGATCTGCTATTATTCTTTGGGGGCCACAAGGAAAAGGAAATTTCCTGCAGACACAATACAGAGCAGAACAGCACAGATTATGGACACATTAAATAAAGGAAATCCTAAACGGAAGCCCAGTTGTAAGTTAATGAGCAGCCACAACCAGATAAAACTGCTGTGGGTTGCAAAATAAGGCCTGGCAATGTGATCTATCACAAGACTTACTGATTGATACAAGTTGATTGGAATGACAATGGTTTGCAAATGTGATCAATGACAACAAACAAGTTGCTGTCACATAAGTTTCTGATTACAATATCAAGGTTAGAGAAGGATGTAATAGGTCTAAGCACTATTTTTCAGATATTTACTCTTTTGTGCATTATTGGTTACTGAATGCACTGATAAATTGCACTATTGGTGGGTAGGCCTGTCGCATTAATCAATATATCGACTTATCGTGCAATATATGTACATGACCACAATAATTTTTGGTGACAATATATCGCCCATTATATTTACTTAAAAATTAATGTCACCGTGTAAGCAATAAATGACAATGATAACAAGAACAAAACTAATTACTGTTATAATTATTCTTGTTGTTTAAACAATTTTATGCATATACTTCCATTTTAAGTTTGCAAAATAACAACCAAAAAGGTATTAAGTTTTATTGTTGCAGTCTAAATTGTATTATTTTAGTATGTCTGTTTGTTTGTTTTAATATTTATTTATTTATGTTTTATTGTGTAAAAGCTGAAATGAGATAAATGCATATTGGTTATCAGAAAATTACATTAAAAAAATTAAAAAAAAGTATATTCTTTGAAAAACAGTATCAGTGATATCTAATCAATGTAAACAAATTGATATCTTGACATGGATTTCTTATGGCCAAGAACAAACAGCCAGGTAAGAGAAGCAAAGAAGTAAGACACTTACCTGTTGATCAAAATAGAAAGTTTTGTACGAGACAGATGTGTGCTGAGAGTTGGTTTGGGCTGTGTGTCTGCCTAAGAGCTGTGGTTTGAGCCCCAGTGCCTTACAGCTGAGGATGAGGAGGAGGAAGAGCAGAGCAGTGTTGATCAGTCTCATTTCTGAATGAGTGAATCCCGTCACAGTGCATCTGAAAATACCAAGCGATGGATCATTTGCATACGGAGGAACGAGGAAGGATGTCAAATGACTCGTAGTTGCTCCATGACGCAAAAATTTTAAAACTACATTAAAAACAAAAGAGAATGCAATGTAACGCCCTAATACATATACAATCCCGTAGCTTTAAAGTTTTTATTTTTCAAATTTCAGACCATTTCATAAAATGATCATGCAGTAAGCTTGATAAATCTGTTCGTCATGTGCGAATAGTTATTAAAAGTGCCTGTCTGTCTCTGCTCACTCAAAATGGATTATATCTCCTTTCTGTCGATGGAATGTTTTGTTAACTTCATATAACGACACGTGCTTCCGTATTGTAAAAACGTGATCACCGCGATGCCTCATGGGTATTGTAGTTTCTTTTTATTCCTCGTTATTTTCATTTATTTTTAGTAAAATCATAATATATATGGTATCCTATAATTTATTTATTAACATATTTGTCTATCTATATCTATATGTGTGTGTATATATATACATACATACATACTAGTACACATAATGTATCAAAATTTCAAAACAACACATGTACAATTATTTACTTGTATGAGAATCTGTCTGTGATAGTGTCTATTAGAGCAATACATTTGTATTTGTATTATTTTATTATAATTGACCTTCATTGCACTTATTTAATTAAGAAGCTTTTTTTCATTTATTAAAGAATTTATTTATATCTCCTACAATATAGTTTGTGTCATGACCATGTTTATTTGGAAAAAAAAGTATTACCTTACAGTCTATATATGCTGAGACTTAACAAGATAATTGCTCACAGAAAACGGCTTTGAATTGCTGCAGTCATGGGGTTTGTCTCTTATATGTGTGTGTATATATATACATACACACATACTAGTACACATAATGTATCAAAATTTCAAAACAACACGTACAATTATTTACTTGTATGAGAATCTGTCTGTGATAGTGTCTATTAGAGCAATACATTTGTATTTGTATTATTTTATTATAATTGACCTTCATTGCACTTATTTAATTAAGAAGCTTTTTTTCATTTATTAAAGAATTTATTTATATCTCCTACAATATAGTTTGTGTCATGACCATGTTTATTTGGAAAAAAAAGTATTACCTTACAGTCTATATATGCTGAGACTTAACAAGATAATTGCTCACAGAAAACGGCTTTGAATTGCTGCAGTCATGGGGTTTGTCTCTTTATGATAAATGTATTACACATAATGCATCACAACTTATATATTGAAAGCACACACTAAAACAATAAATGTAGTTATCTACTTTGGACACAGATCTTGTGGGTTCAAAGAATGGCATTTCATCTTCACTAGACAAAAGACTGTTACTCCTTGATGAATATCGTACTTCACATAATGAAATGGTCATAATAACATTGTCCATACAGAAAAAGTAAGCACTTAGTAGTACATATACTATACTGGAAATTAGGGCATTTAACATAGAAAAGAAATAATTCTAGAGTCTTATTGGTACACAATGCAACACATTATAATATGGCATATATCTGTAAAATAATGCTAGACAAAATTACCTGACAGAGAAAATACTGTGCATGGCACGTCATGTAACATAGAAAGAAAGCAGTTTATACAAAACTAGAAAAGGTTATCACTTTAAAATAAAATGTTAATAGAAAAGCTTAATATCATATAAGCAGCTATGTGTAAATATGAGGAAAATGCATTATACTGCAACGTTATTGGCATGGACACCCAAAAAAGCTGAAACAATTGGTCCTCGAGTTAAACAATGTTTAGTGTTTTAGTGAATACCTTTTGTCAAGAAAAAAAAAAAAAAATCAGTCTAAACAAAATCACTGAATCAAGCACATGGCATCTAAAACCAGTTGTAATTCTATCAATTTTGTAAAAGAAAAAGCTCTGTAGCAGCAAGTAAAATACTGAAAGTCTATAAAAGAGGAGATTCACAGTTCCATTGTAATGACACGGGTGCAAAAAACCTTACAGCACAGCCAAGGTTGGAGGTACAAGTTCCAACTGTTTGAAAGTCATTACAATGCACAACACAGTTCCAGAACAAAGGTCAACCGAAGCCAGAATCACACTGTATCACACCGTTAAACAACTCCATCATCTATTCCTCAATATGATGCATTGGAACACAAAGACCATTTGTGCAAGAACTCACTGAAACATCTATGAAATACATCTCATCCACACATAAACTGCATGCACACTGTTCTCTCAGCCCCTCAAGAGCCAAAAGCTTTAAACATCGCTATGGTTATTACAATACCAAAGCTGGACTAAATTAACAGCAAAGCATCCCGGTATATTTCAGTTCTGGTAATAGGTAAAAATTTGTAAAAGGACAGAATATCTCGGAGTAATCCTTGTGGGGGGGGGACTACCAATATGGAATGAAGTAAGCGTTTTAGACAGTGCATTAAAACATTGAGTCCATTATGTTTACTTTTTAACATGTAATGTGCAAAGACACTAAAGGACAATATCTAGAGCTTAGTCAACTAAAACTGTGATCTGAAAAATCTAGACCGGATGATCACGCCATACGCTACCATTCAAAAGTTTGGGGTCGGTAAGATTATTTTAAAAAGTTTTAAAAAGAAATCTCTCCCTAGATTGAATGTATTTGATCAAATTACAGTAAAAATATTGATATTGTGAAATATTATTACAATATATATTATTACTATCATTACTCCATTCTTCAGTGTCACATTATGCTTTAGAAACTATTTTAAGATGCTGATTTGGTGCTCAAGAAATACTTCTAATTATTGTTAATGAAAACATGTTGCTTAATATTTTGTGGAAAGTGTGATACTTTTTTATCATCGGAAAAAAAGTTCATAAGAACAGCATTTATTTGAAATAGAAATCATTTATAACATAATAAATGTCTGTCATTAATTCATTTGTCATTAATTTAATGCATCCTTGCTGAATAAAATTATTTCTTTAAAGAAAATCATACTGACCCCAAACTTTTGAATGGTAGTGCATTTCACCTCAAAATCAAAAAAAAAAAAAGCTTATTTTATGAACAATTACATTTTTTGCAGTTATTTAATTAAGGAAATGTTTCCTTTCTGTTATTATTGTAATGCAAAAAAAAAAAAAACATACTGCAAAGTGTGTATACATTATGGGAGTATACTGTATGTTGTACAGTGAAAATAATAAAAATCTTAAAAAATATAATTGTGTCTGCGCAGTATTATTTTGCAGTACTGGGAATCTAATGAGAATCATCCTTGAAATAAACTAAATTAAAACGTCCAAACTAATATATCGACCCGGTTAAAGTGATATTTTTGGGTTAAATATGACCCAAACATGTGCTCCATGAGATTCCCCAGTGCTATGTAATGTATGACGACAGGATGCAAATGGCAGAGGCACATTGGGTTTTTGCTATGACTTCTCAAAATGACATGGCCTTCATTGAGTATTAACAACCAAACTACCATGCAAGCAGTAAGGGGAGTTTATATTCTTATAAACTGAATACCTGACAAATGGTGGTTTTACTTCACATCTTCCTGTCACAGATTATTTAAGGGAGCTGGCTGCCTGTTTGCATTATTGACTTCTTAGTTTAAAAAAAAAAAACGCATGCATAAGCAACCTCAAACAATCTCGCAAGCAATCAAGAAGTGCATTTTGTGCGAATAATAAATGTGCACACCAACACACCAATTTTGTGGCAATGAGTCTTAAAGGAGCAGTTCATCCTAAAATAATAACTCTGTCATTATTTACTCACCCTAATGTCATTCCAAACCCGTAAGCCTCATATGGCTTCAGAAGACTTGGAATATAATGCACAAGTCATATGGACTGCTTTGGTCACTGCATACTTTAGGTTGGAAAAGAGCTTCATGAACATTCTTCAAAACATCTTCTTTTGAGTTCCACAGAAAAAGTCAGTCATATGGGTTTGGAACAACATGAGGGTAAGTAAATGATGACAGAATGCTTATTTTTGGATGAACTTGTCCTTCAAGTGAGTGAGATTGCTGATGAAGATCTGCATTCTCATTTCTTTTTCAAATCTCTAATATGACAAATACATTGGCTCTCAAGTCAGCAGGGAAATCCCAACTGTTGCATTGTACAGAAGTGTAGAAAATCTCATTGTCTGACCTATAAGCAAGCATTTTTGTATAACAAGGCCCTTTTTTCTGTCCAAAAGCATCTCGGAGCTTCAGACCCACCTTTAAAAGCAGCAGCATCTTGATATTGTGTTTTTTCAGAATGTTTTAAAATACCCAGGGATTTAAGAATGGTAAAAGAACTAGACTTCGACAACAGTGGAAAACAGTAACCACTGCAACTACATAGTGGTTACCAACAATACAACCACTTTGTATGCAATCCATGTTGCCCCCCTCAGCCAGACAGAGTGGCCAAGTCTACTAGTTCATGCTGCAGCAGCTCAAGTAATTGATGTTTTTCCCTTCTCCAGGCATGGGAGTGGAGTCATTACAGTAGATATTTACATGTTTCCCAGAAGAAAAAATAAGTTAAATTTACCCTGATCTTCAAATTCAAAACGGTTTCACCCCCTCCCCTGGCTCTTAATGCATCGTTTTTCCTTCTGAGGCATCAGTGAGCACTTCAGTTCAAATGCTAACTGATGCTCCAGAAGGAAAAACGAACCTTGAACCTTTTGTAATAGTTGCATATGAGTCCCTCAGTTGTCCTCAGTGTGAAAAGATGATCATTCACACACATTGAGTGTGTGCAGGCCGGAGGCCTAGAGTGAGCGGCGGCGGGTGGGCTTGAGAACGGCGCGGCTGGCGGATTCAACGAAGGAGCGTCCGGCAGGGCTTGAGGCAACCACATGTGACGACCCCGGGCTGGACTCCGCTTCGTCCACGGTGAAAGCTGATCCGTTGATCCACAGCGCAAAGTTGATGTATTTCCTCAGTGACCAGCACGGATCAGCTCTAGGCATGACGA